ATGAGATATGAGCTTGTAAGCATGTAAGTCAAGTTACGAAACCACTTGTCTTAACCTCTCGGTCTAGGGTAATTAACGTTCAACTCCCCAAGGAAGGGCATGACTGGGGCTTCGTAATCTGGCAAGTCTGGTTTGGTTGATGGGCTTACTCTAACATATTGGACGAGTGTGAGTGTCTAACTCATAGGGGATTGAATACGTAGATGCCTTAGACTTTAGCCTGAGCTTTATAAAACATTCAATTGTGGTACCATAATAATCAATGGCAAATATAAATAAATAAATCTACAACTAAATTTACACAAAGAAGTAAGGAAAACAAATAAAAGGGATTGGAATTATACACATACTCATATATACGCATATAAATATATATAAAAATATATATACATATATATACATATATAAATTGAGATAGACTTTAAAAAAAACTAGGATTTGATCAAACATCCTTATCCTCCAAAAAGCTGTAGAGTAAAACAAATTTATCTTTTTTCCTCTGACTCATTGTCTTGAAATCATAATATATGTAAGTGGGTCCAACTGTCAGAAGTTGCCGAACACATGGTAGAATCTGGATATGAAATAGAACTGTCTCAAACAAGTAGGTTAGCTGATCATGGTACGTCTGCTGTTAAACGAAAGATAGGAGAGGCTATTGAAATTAATAGCTTAGAAAATACGTTGAATGTGAGGAACGGTGGTAGAAAGTTGAGTAGGAACTACTTATGCTTGATTGATAGATTGAAGGAGAGAGCCGGCGTCAAAAAGAAGGCGACTCAATTTGTCTGCTCGGTGATGGCTCCAAATTCACTCACACTCATCCAATCTGTTAAATCAAGCTCATCAACTAAACCAGGTGTGCCAGATTACGCAGCCCCAGTCATGCCTTTCCTTGGGGGGTTAAACGTTAATGACCCTAGACCAAGAGGTTAGGACAAGTAGTTTCGTAACTTGACTTACATGCATACAAGCTCATATCTCATTATCTCAACCATACTTGATTACGGACATACTCAGTCTTGATCAGGGATTTCTCTTGGGTCATTAGGACTTAATGATTAGAGCCTGACATTAGCCTTTTGATAACTCTGATTTAGAACAGGTATTGCGTATTGACGTTAACACACACACACACATACACACATGTACACACTCGAGCAAAAGTAACAGGACCAGTATCAAAGATAATTAGCTAAACCACTCTATCTCTATATATTTAGGCTTTTAATTTTATATTTGCTTAATTGAGTCTATATAAGAGGTAAGATAGAGCCGGATAGTCTAGTTGCCCTAGTGTTAACGTGAGAATTTTACAGGAATGAGACCCAGCTCTCATGATGTCCATCATATGATGGACGAAAGCTCAGCCCGTTTTCACCTGATACAAGGGAGGAAGTCTCGTGGACTGCGTCAGCCCGAACATCGTATAAAAGCCAAACAGTTGCAGTAAAACGGAATTCATCTGTCCTCATCTGGTGAGATAAACCAACGAATCTCTTCTTCGTGCACTTTCATACAAAATGAAAGTCCCCCTAATAAACGATTGTTGACTATATCTGCACGAAACCGATTCATGTAAGAAAAAACTTAATATCAAAATGCCTTATTATACTAGAAGAAACAGTTGCAGTGTATAGCAAGTACAACTTTGCATCATCGACAATCTCACCCCAGATTGTTATATACAAAAATGTCTGGTCTTTCCTCAAATTCACATCTGCCTTGTGAACCAAGGGCACTCGTGACATTGTGGTGTAGTAGTTAACGCGTCGAGATTATAATCTACGCTTTCATGGTTCGAGTTCAGCTGGTTGTACTGATGAGATCTAGACGGGGTCGAAATTGCAGCCCACCCTTGATAAGAATACATTTAGGGAAAGCAAGGTTATGTGAAATTCATGTCAATTTGGGAAAATTCATTACCTGTCCTATCATCACCTTAAACAAAATATGGTGAATAGATCTCAAATATCAAATACTTGGCTCTTCAGTTCAATAGCAAAGTAATGGTAATGATCATAGATATGAAGACTAAGATGGTTTGGTCGTAGTCTCCTTTCGCTGTATGGTATTTGACTGCATTTTTGCAACTGGGTCAGAGCAACAGATAGGCCTTATGGAACTTGCCTAGTCTTGGGTCCTCTACCAAAATATTGATAATAATTTCCGGTATCGGAATGTTTAATTTGTACTCTCCCAGACGTTTCGTCGGGGATGCAACATACTTGCTAGAACATACATGTGATGTAAACGGGGACCAGAATCGAAGACTGATAGACAACCATATAGTGATTTACATTTTTAGCCGGGAATAAATGATATGTGGGGTGGAGGGACACTAAATGAAAGTAAGAAGTTATATGAACAGCATTTGAAACGGTTGCTTAAAGTAATTACGTTTGGAGTAACACTCTTAGGTGATATTGGATCAAACGATGAGACAGAATGGTGTTAATAGGTAGATGACTCATAAGAAGTGGGGCTGAGAGATAGGGATTCAGCATTATTAGCTATGACAAAGTGGTGATGTCACATCTGTTTAAGAGAAAATTGGTTCTGAGGGAATGCCGTCACCCGTCACCTTGATACTTTGTAACTCTGTACTAAGGAAGGCACCTTTCACTAACGTTGCTGATGAAACGTCTGGGTACGCACCAAATCAACGGCACGAGGCTGGAACTCATCTTGAATACTATTGTAGAGGACTTATGGCTGGGTACGTTCCCCGAAGTCTCCCTTACACTCAAACCAAGTTGCGAAGATGAGGTCAATTCAAAAAATTTAAAAGATTTATATCTATAATCAAGGGTTGTATGAGAAATTTTTTGGTATTTTAGTGTTGATCCCTTTGAGCTAGATTATATGATCAAGAGATTCACAGGTCTGTATCATCACAAGGTGACGGCGAATACATCTTGGTTAGGTGTCATTTGGCTTTGCTGGGACGCCGTCCTCGAGACACCTTTCGATTCTAATAAAGATGTGCTATTTTACAGAAACTAACAGAGCAGGCACGCATTCTAATGACAATTTCGAGATTATGACGAGTCTAAGATGTAACCAGGATTGTACCTAGAAATCAAGCTTGAAACTTGTGATAAATTTTGTCAAATACTGGTTTTACTATGATGATATGCCGCGTGACAGAGAAAGACTCTGCGCTGATTTATCAGTATCGTCACACAGTTAGTAGGTTACTTCTTAGTTCAAGTCAATATTCGCAACTCAAAAGCAATCTTCCTTCGGTTTCTAATGAGTAGTTCTATCTAATTTTTCATACGAAATGGAGGCTCATGGCATAAGTCAATATAGGAGACTTCAAAATTTAACTTTTATCTACAATCAAAAACAATTATTTTTATGGGAAACGAAACTAGAATCTACCGAGAGGGTAAATCAATGCACTAAAAAGTATAAATTTGTATAATAATTACGATAAATTAACCTCGAAAATCATAAATCTTACACAAATACCATGGTTTAACAATATTTGAAAAAATTGAAGCAAAGCATATCTCATCTTCAATTAAAAGAAGTATTTTTAATTATCATTAAATTAAAATCCATACTTGGATTTTGTGGATTATTTTGCCTAAAAGGCATTTTGTCTATCACCTTAGTTTTAATTTTTTCTTATGTCACTGATCCCACAGCAACTCTGTCCTCTATTCTACATTCTAGATTAATCCACTTATGATGATTGAGCCATTTCGTTTGGTTGAATGGGTCTTTAATCTTCGTCCAGCTCGAACTCCGGCGGAACAGAACCTTGAACTGGTGCGCTATTCTAGCCAACTTACCCCATCTCCAAATACTTTGGAAGATATGAATATCCCACTACTTTCTCCACCCACTGCTGCTCCGATTACTGCTCCTTCTATGCTTCCTCTTTTCTCAAAGAATGCGTCATCAATCGTTGCTCAAGTGCCATTGTTCTTGCAGACTAGTTTCTCGAAGTTTAGCAGACAGATTGATCATCATTCTGTTTCAAAGACTTCAGAAAACGCGGATACTACTGCCGAGTCATACTCTACTTCATGCATAGAGACTCAATTCAAATCTGCTGACCCTCTTTGGTCGCATTCCAGTGGAGTTGAAAGTTTTCTTACAGATTGTTTAAACTCATCGCTGAAAAACATAAATACCACTCCAGAAAGTTGCAATTGTAGCCAAGATATTCTCTTTTATATTAAGCCTGACAATCAACGTCATGATTGCTCTAAGGGGATAAAGATCTCTGAAATTCAGAAGAATGAAGTTGTCGATGGAAATGGACCTGAAGATAATGCGGCAAAAGCACAAAACTTAACTGATTTGCCCTTGAGAAACAAGGTTGGAAAGTGTCAAGCGCTGTTCTATAGGACGACTAGAACTGTTATGGCTGGAGAAGAACTTTTGCTATGGTTTCGTAGAGACGATATCACGCCATGGATAACAAGCTTGCTAATTTTGCGG